TTAAGAGCTGATCAATCTTAAAACACATACGAATCAACCACTGTCATTAAAAAAAAAAAAAAAAAAGTTATATTTATATATAATTGATTATAAATTATTAATATTTCAATATAAATCTTACATCAGCTATTCTAGCATATGTTTTATTATTTTCAATATTATTTATGTATGGCACCACTTGTTTAGAAATATAATGCTTGATGAATTTTTGCATGTTTTCTTCGTTATATCTTAGATCTATCAAAGCTTCTATAAACGAATAATTTGGATCAACCGCATGAGCAACAGCAAACATTTTAAGCCAATCAAATAAACCACAAAGGGCATTATGCCGAACCAATGCAGAGATAGCTGTTAAAAGTGCTTCATGTGCATCCTCGGGTATACTATTAGGTTGATATTTTTCAAGACATTCAATGAATGGCATTGAAGGGAAACTCTTTCGTAGTGAATAATAATTGGCAATTGAATATGCTTGACGATATTTAACATAATATCCCAAAAGAACACATAAGAAAATACGTTTTTCTTTTGATTTTGTTTCCTGAAGACAATCTTCAATAAATGAAATATCAGCGGCAGACATGGTCAATGCCTGAAATTTGTTCAAGATGTCTTGATATTCTAAAATCTTTTGCTTGATATTTTCAGAGGTCAGTGATTGATAGATAAAATCCAAAAAATCAAACTCTCGAACTTGTCTCTTACAGCTTCTACCATCAATAACTATTTCCTCCACTATATCAAACTGATTACACTGATTACCACCTTTGATTTCTAAAAAGCGAAATTCTTTACCGACTTCGGAATAGAAATCACCCGTTTCTTTATTTTTCTTGTCCGGTTTTCGAGAAACATAAACTGCATATCTATACCTGATGCCTTCATCAAAAGCGGAAATTGGTATTGACACTGGTTCTGACATCCAATAGGTTGGGTTATGATGGCGAGATGGAAGTTGAAGTTGAACAATTGGCTCTTTCCATTGTCCTAATTCTTTGATATTGCCTATTACGACTGGATCTCCTTTATTTTCTATAGCAAATGGTAAATGTACATGAAATACAACTTTGACAACATCAGGCGAGTCTTCATTATCACGCCAAGAAAAAAACTGTTTGAATAACGCAGCTTTTTTAAAAAATTTTCTAGTTTGAGTTTGGTTTGATCCATCTCCAATAGCATTATTACTATGCTCTGGTCCTTGAGTTTGATTGTTTTGTGTAAGTTTTGATCCATCAGCATTACTATTTGTATTGTAATCGACACTAAATTCAGGATTCTTCCCTTTTTCAATATTATTTAATTCATTATTGACCCCATCTTTATCGATATTTTTATCGATAACATTGAATACACAAGCAAATTCATTTTTATTTTCGTCAGAGGTTTGTTGATTTAAATTTAAAGCATTGTCCAATCCAAAATTAGGTTTGCTTTCACCATTATCAAACAAACTAGAATGCTGGTTACTTAAGTTTTCGTGGTCAATTTCATCGTTTCCAATAGATCCTTGTAAAAAATTCGATTCTAAATTATTACTTTCACCGTTCGAACCTAAATCATCGCGTTGTTGTATCGCATCCATTTGAATAAAATTATGATTATCTGAATTAACAAATTTAACAAATTGGTAAATTATTATAATTGTTATATATCAATATATATTAATTAATTTCAAAATCTAAAAGAAAAATTGGCCTATCACGGAGACACGGAGTTCTAATTGGTGTTTGATCAATTAAAATTATTTATAGTTATCAAGTTAGTCTTTGTTTAGGTACGTACGCACGTACAGTATATATATATGTATACAGAAAATAAAATAATCGGCAATTTCCGCTATCTTGAGTAACTTTAGTAAACCCATTATCTGCATATATGCGTAAACTTTTTTAGCTACTTTTGTTTGTTAAAATAAAGATGAAAATTTCTGAAATCTTTCTTTGTTTTGATTATATAATTTACTTTTATAGAAAGAAAACAAAAATCTTACGTATAATTTTTTTCATAATTATCAGCCTCTAACAGTCGTAATTCTAAATTATATTCGATTGAAAATGGTTAGGGTCCGTAATTTATAAATTTATTTAGCTCTATTATTTTACTATATAGAGCGAAAATGTACAGAAAATATAACGATACCGTTAAATTGCCTTTTTTTCAGGATTATTAATGTTGAACATTGGATGACTCAATCCGACAACATTCTTTCACAAAAAACTGCAAATAAAAATGAAGTTCTAATTTTTATTATGAAACAGTATTCACACAATGATAGTAACATAATGACAATAGTCCGAAGCACAGCGGAAGACACTTTATCTCTGTTCCAGTTTATCACTTTGAAAGGTACGTTAAAGATACTAAATCAAATTTCTTGATCAGGTAACGACTTATTTAGGTTTTATATTTATAGTAATTGGTTCTAAATAAAGTCTGCCCTCATTATAACGGACTGCGTTATAGCGCTATAATGGGAAAATCTTTTAAAAATTTTATTATTATACTATATAACGTTATAGTGGATATTTCAATTTCATTATAACGGATAAAAATTTCCAGCCTGATTGTATGTTATAACGAGGGCGGACTGTATATTGCTTATACAGTAAAAAGAATTTATATACTTATAAAGGGAATGATTATAGAGAGTTTAACTGCATCATATATTCGTTTCGAGCACTTATCAGATTCCGATAACTGAGTAGCAATTAATTAATCACTATGTCGCAATTTCCATACATCTCACACTCGCTATATCCTGATCAATGCTTTTCACCGAATTTTATATGAATTTGATGAATTTTGGAAATGAGGAAGTTGCTAGCTTAATAATACATGGCAGACAATAATAAAATCAAACATGCTTTTTTTAGTTTGGCTTTATTAAATTACGCAGTCGGTGTTTAACATTAGTTTACAGTCGCACTTCCATACAGTCACGTCCTACATAAATAATCATATTTTTTATTTATTCACCTAAAAACTTGGGTCCCAATTATGTTTATATTGAATTGCCAGGTACACATGTAGCTGGTAGGTTGCCAAATAACCACGCTTATTGCCAATAACCATGAGCATGTCTAAATATTAATACATATTAAAGCTCTACAATATTCTTGTTCGTGTTAAAAGTATTCTGATTGGCTTGCTTATATAAGCACATAAGCATGAGTACTTTCAAAAGAAAACCATGTTTTGATACTTCGAGTTCATAACTTAGCCGACTCAACCCTTGGAAAATTCGATTTTCGTTCACGTGTACTGTTACTTGTTATCTATCATCAAATTTGTTAAGCTACGTATTACGCGTGTGTAGGACGTGCAAGACACAATTGCTTATGTTTTTTACAATTACAACTTATTATAAGAAGATATCATCAGATTGGCAGTATTCTATTGTATATCTTTAGTCTATAAACTGTTGGTTATAACCTTTCTTTGTGAGTGTCGCATTAGTAATAAGTCGACAATATTTTATTACAAGCTGTGTTCTTTTATAAAATTATATAAACACATTTCTTAACTACTCGAACACTTAGTCAAGTAAGGTAACTTGTTAACCAAGGGTCTAACAACATTACATTACACTATATTGTATAATTATATTGTACAAATAATTAAATATATCTATTAAATACCGATTCCAATTCTTGTGATATTGTTTAGTAAATCCGCTTGCGGCAACTTGTACATCCAAACTGAATTCTCGACTTACATCAAACTTAAGTTTTGGATACAGCGTACTCTCGTAATTGGACCTCCTCTTAAAACGAATACATCCTATATCACGATTAAAATACCTAGTCAATTACCAGTGTTAATTTTAATTTTAATTAAGCAATTACAAATCATACTCTTCGTATAAACTAACCATTTTGCATCAGGATGCGAAGTGGATAAACACAGGATCTCCATTTTCTTTCACATGGTTATTGAACTCATTGAAATCTCCGATCAGAATAGAGTTGGCCTGGATCTCGCACATCAGTTATTTGTCGCCTATACAAGATAAATTAAACTTAGGTGCATTTAAGAATTATGATTAATTTTACAAAGACCTTACAGCGGATAAGCATCAACTAGTTTATTAATAAAAATTCTGAGAAATAACAATATCTGTATACGTATATACAAATAACAGTATACACATTAAATTAATATTAACTCTAAATAGTATTTAAAATGATAATTTAACCACCAGTTAATATAAAAAAATTAAGCTTAATTAATTGACTTACGCTTTTATAGTTATAATGATCACCGTTAACCTACTCACGTTTTTTATTATCCCTTTATTCGTAACTGCCTAAGCATAGTATTTTTAGAAATTATTTTTTAAGATTAGAGTTTTTGCGGCTAGAGAATTTAATTGGCTAGGCTAAAATCCGTTAAATAATAAATAATTTTGCCAAAATCATAAGGTTTTTTTTGAGGCGTTATTGTTGTACGTAATATGTACACAATATCGTTATTTTTGAAACCGGATTTAAATCCGGATTATAATTTCATAACGTTGTTATATAGTGAACCCGGCTTAAAAAGTACGTACAACCCGGGTTACCAGACGGGTAGACCCGGGTACAAAGATTACCCGTCAAACCCGGGTCAGAAAAAAATTATTAAGTCTTTAAATATTGTATACAAGATCCTCTTTGATATATACATCGTGAATTAGACCCATATACGAACTAATCGCAGATTCGGTCATCGATTTTGAAATGATTTTGAGGTATTCGATCATCAATTCTGATTTTTAGAATTGACCTACACTCCTAATATAAACCTAA